AATAAAATTTTTTACCGAAGAAATTCTACATAACGAAATTTCTATATAACAACTTTTTTTCTGGAACCATCAAATTTGTCATACGGAGGTTCGACTGTATGTATCATGTGTTTGTTTGTGTGTGTGTATGTGTGTATGTGTGTGTGTGTGTGTGTCTTTGTGTGTAGCATCTTAACAAACATGTCAGTTGAAAAAGCCAAAGTTGGTTTGATAAATCGATATCATCTTTCCAACCATTCATCTATCTTTCCAACCACCCAACTAACTAACCGACCAATCAACCGACCACCCATCCAACCATCCATCCATCCAACCATCCATCAAACCTTCCATCAAACCATTTACCCATCTAATCATACATTCATTTATTTATCCAACCATACATCTAAACATCCATCTAGCCATCCATTTAACCAATCAACCAACCATCCATCCATCTAACCAGCCACCCATCCAACTATCCATCTAACCAATCCTCTCTTCATCCATCCATCTTTTTATCCATTTATCCAACCATCCATCTATCCATCCATCCAACCAACTAACCAGCCAACCATCCATCCATCCGTCTATCCATCAATCAGCAGTAGTAATATTGGCCATGCAAATATCAATTCCATCAATCAACTATTGATTGTCAATAGAAAACATTCAGAAGCTCATGCACACATACACACACACACACACACACACACACACACACACACACACACACACACACACATACATACATACATACATACATACATATACATACATACATACAAATAAACAAACCAACATACAGACCAACATACAAACCAACATACAAACCAACATACAAACCAACATTCAAACAACTTTCGCAAATCTGTTGTACACAAACGTCCAAAGTCCCACAAGCAGACGAACATCAATAAAGTAGAAATATTCTCGTGCCTGGAAAATATTGACTGCCTATATTGACATTTTCCAAATTTATTGGGTTTAATATATGTTCTCTCTCTCTCTCTCTCTCTCTCTCTCTCTCTCTCTCTTGCTTCCTCTTTTCTGTTTCTCTTTTTTCATTTTTTCTTTATCGCAATCTATTTATCTCTTTCTTTTTCTCCCATTTATATTTTTGTTTCTTATTTTTATTTTATTTTTTTCTGCCGGTTGAGTGCGTTTTGTTTATGGATAACTGTTGTTGCCGATGTTGATGATGTAGTTGTTGTTGTTGCTGCTGCTGCTGCTGATGTAGTTGTTGTTGTTGCTGCTGCTGATGATGATGTAGTTGTTGTTGTTGCTGCTGATGATGTAGTTGTTGTTGTTGCTGCTGCTGCTGATGATGTAGTTGTTGTTGTTGCTGCTGCTGCTGCTGATGATGTTGTCGATGATGTAATTGTTGTTGCTGGTAGGGGTAATAAAGTTTTGCTTTAAACTGCCTAAGATATAGCATTGTTGTGGTTGTTGTTTAAAATGTTGCGGTTGTCACTGCGTTGTTCTTGTTTTCGTTTTTTGTTGGAGTTTGCCGTCAAAAAATTAACTACTGTTATAAAGGGAATTCAGCTTAGTGCGCGTAATGGCATCAATAAAAAGTAAAATTCTTTTAAAAGCGCTCCTTCTTGTGGTCCATGAAGTGGCCGTCGTGGCCACCAATGCAGTTATGTTTGTGGCTGCCGCCGAGGCACGTTGTTATTTATGCTACTGTAGTCGGGGCTGTTGTTCTTCGTTAATGTTTTTGCGTTGTTTTTGCTGTCGGTAATTGTTTTTTCTTATCGGTTTATTAGAATGTTTCTAGTTTATGTTTTTAATTTTAAAGTTTTGTTCCTTCCACATCAAAAGTAATTTCCTTCTTTGTTTTCGATAAAGTTAAAAAACTTCCTGTTTGAAATAAATTGTTCAGGAACGATACGCGATATCTTCATTTACAATTGGTTTTTTAAAGTATTGTAGAAATTTTGAAAAACGAAAAAATAAAACATTTCAACTTTTTAATATTTCTGTACACACCATCAAAGTGAGAGCGGTGAGTGGTGTGGGGCTCGATTCCTCTGCTGGTTATGTTTGTGCGTGCATATTCGGAAATGTTGTTGGTTCTGTTGCCCTTCCAGACGTCCAGGCAAGGCCCAAGCTAGTTTGCCACTTCCACCGGGCTCCATTTATTATTTTGAAATGTGTGATTCTTGAGGCAGCTGAACAGATGAGAGACATCGTCTGGTTGTTGGTGGCAAAAAGGACAGATGTTGTTGAGCCCACTGTCGATTCTTGATTTGTAGCTACCGAGAAAGATGCTGTGGCCAGAGCGGAGCAGAGCAAGGGTCCGTCTGATTGTGTGTGTGTGTTTGTGTGTGTGTGTGTGTGTGTGTGTGTGTGTGTGTGTGTGTGTGTGTGTGTGTGTGTGTCTGAGTGAGTACTTTAAATTAAAAAGAGATGTAACAGTGTGTATTGCTAAAGACATCGTTATATACAGTGTTTTCTGACTCCACTTGGTTGAAGCAGAAGCCATATTCTTTGTTCAAAATTGAACACGTTAGAAGAAGATTTTGGCAGAGGGCATCCTAATGGCGAAATTCTTTCGGTTGGTCACGATTATGTAGATTCCTTTCTTAATATGCTATTTCAGTAGAATTATCGGATGATAAACGAGAGAAAATAATGCTATGCTACCTAGCTATGCAACTTGGCTAAGCAACTTAGCTATGCAATATAGTTATGCAACTTGGAGGTCGTATGAAGCGGCGCCAACTTTTATATCTTGTAGTTAAGACATCAACAAAAACTTACAATTATCAATTGCAGATTTTAGAAAATTATTATATGGGAAAACGTTGATCCTTAATTAGTATTAATTGGTTAACGACCAATATTAATCTTATTGAAATAATTAAGTTCCTAAATATTATTTAAATAATGAAATACAAATTGATCAAAACCTTGCTTGTATTATATGATGCGAAAGTATCAGATGAAATGCTGGCGTATTCTCACGCGTCGCTGCATAAATTAAATTAACTTTAAGAAACAAGCTTAAAGAATTTTAAATTTATTTTCATGCATATTTGTCATGGAAATTAGCGAGCCGCTAGATTTTTATTTTTCAGAGGAGTCCGCCTTGATAATTTGGTTGAATTGTTTAAATTAATGTTTTGTGTTATGTAGTTATTTTAAGCTGTCTGTCTGTAAGCTTTGAGCGTTAACCAATGTGATGATATTGATAATTTGCGAAACTCACAAATATTAGACAGCCGGTTTTTTCAAACAACACTAAATAACAAAATAAGATGCCATGTTTTAAAAACCACCATATCAAGTTGAACATTAATCAAACCGTAAAATAAAACTGTCTAACGGTCATGCTTTTAATGATTTTTAGTTTATGGTTCGAATCAATTGAATGAACATTCAATCAACTTTGTGTTATTTCAAAACTGGCTGTTTAATATGTTTTCCTACGTGTTAATTTGTATGCAAATATATCTCTGGGAAAAGTGATTAGGATTTTTTACAAAAATTTGACGACCTTTTTGCTTTCTATACTAAAACCTGATTAAACATTGGTTTTGTCAATGGGCTGCAACAATTTGAAACCAAAATTCAGGAAATTTGCATAGAGATTGTGTTGAATTTACTTTTAACTCTAACAAAAATATCTATTGTGGAGAAGCCTCTTGTCGCAAAGTCTTCTCCTCGACTACGCCTCTCTCTTTTTAGAGCCCTCATATTAAACCTTTTCAATTTACGATCGCCTTTCGTTCCAAATTCTTCTTTACAATTCAATTCTTTAAAGTGTGTTGAACACTCTTATGCTAAATCTGCGTTTGCTTTTTCTGACCCTTACCCTTTTTTCTGGAGTAGTATATATATTTATTTATATTTATATGAATAAATAAATATGTTCTACGTTTTTGTTAACGTTTATATCATTATTAATTATTATTATTATTTTGAAAAGCAGAACCCTGAGGTTGCTGAAACCCGACATAAGTCAAAATTTTTTAATTTAAAAATTAATTAGTTTTTATAACTTAAAAATTATAAATAATATGAACATGGTTTAACTTTTTTATTTGTTTTTACAGTGCTAATACAAGAAAAATAATTTTATTATTATTTGTTAAAAACATGTGGTTGTTGTAATAATAATAATAATAATAATGAGAATGAATAATAATAAGGAGTAGAAGAACAATAGTAATATTTTAAGCTTGGTTTTTTTTATCAAAAAATTCTATCTTCAGAATAATTATAATTTAGGAAATTTACACTTTGACTCGTAGTTTAAACACATGTTTAAACACAGAGAAATTGTTTTCATTTTCATAATCGAGATAACAGCGCGAGTCGATGTTAAAAACACAGTGGTAAAATCATTATGCAAATATTTATGGTTCAGCAAATAAATAGTTCAAATAAGTGTTCTAATTGAAAAATTATTATTAAATATTTTGCAGTTATCAGCTGTGAAGTCGTCAAATCCGCCTTTGACAGTGAGAACTGTCTCTTGAGAGAAACATCGCATCTTCATTCCCTACAATCACCAGATAGAAAAGATGGAGAATGACAACAACTACGCAAATTTCCATAAAAAATTAACAAACTACAACTTTCCACATGATCGCCGCACTCGAAATTTGCACAAAATCGCAAAAGCATCAAGCGCTGAAAAAATATCTTCGCTAAAGTCATCCGTAAAATATATCGTTGTCATTTTATTGTTGATAATAAACATCGAACTTGTCCTTTGCGAAAATTTAAACAGTGAAAATAAACATCGCCACCGACACCACCACCATCATCAACAGCAGCAACACACTTTCAGCAAAAGCAGTTTGTGTGATGGTTCTTTGTGCAGTGATTCAAAACATGCATCTGAAGACGTTGTTAGCAGTAACAATAACAATACTAACGTTAACAATTACACTATTAACAACAACAGCGAAAATGTTAAAAAGCAACGAAAAAAACGAGACTTCGATTTTTCAATACCAGGTCTTGGCACGCTTAGTGGAGAACAAAACTATTTACCAAATTACGAGACTCAAGTTGTTTCATTTCTTGGGATAAGATACGCTGAACCACCTGTAGGTGAATTGCGTTTTAAAAAACCAAAAAAAGCTAAACTTTTGGGTGGGTTGATGGACACAACAAAGTGGGCTAATTCTTGCTTTCAACCAACAGACAACAACTTTGGAAATTTTTTTGGCTCGAACATGTGGAACCCAAATACACCCATGGATGAAGATTGTTTATTCTTGAACGTTTTCGTGCCCCAACAGGCTTTGGAAGGAACGACTACCCAAAAGCTTTCGGTGATGATTTGGATTTACGGAGGAGGGTTTTACAGTGGGACATCATCTTTAACTATGTACGATGGAAAGTCTCTGGCCGCTAGTAATGGCGTCATCGTTGTGACTATAAATTATCGGGTGGGAATATGGGGATTTTTTGGTTTAGGAAATTCCGAAACACCGACCAACGTTGGTCTGTGGGATCAACTGTTGGCTTTGGAGTGGGTGAATACACATATACACGGTTTTAATGGTGATCCAAATTCTGTCACATTGTTCGGAGAAAGTGCAGGTGCGGTTAGCGTCAGTTTGCACTTATTGTCGCCTCTCAGTTGGAAATATTTTAACCGAGCCATAATGCAGAGTGGCACTGCAAACATGCCGTGGGCCGTCATGACGATGAACGAAACAATACGCAGGTCCAAAGCTTTGGTTGAAGCACTCAATTGTAATAATTCACGAAATATTGCTAGTGAAGTAAAGTGTATGCGTGACGTCAGTAATGATAAAATTATAGACAACCAGTGGGTGTCAAGAGGTTTCGTACAATTCCCTTTTGGCCCTACGATTGACGGAGAATTTGTAACGGAACATCCGGATGAGTTACTACGTAAAGGCCTATTTAAAAAATGTCCAATATTACTTGGCAGTAATGCAAATGAGGCTTCTTTCTTTCTGATATACGAATTTGGTGAGTTATTGACATTGAACAGTATGAAGATGTCACAAAAAAATGCCACTGACTGTATAAATTCCGTGTACAATTATTATCCACAGTTTCCTAAAATTGTACCAAGTGACGTTTTGAAAGCAATTAATTTTTATTACACCCACGAAACCGAGGAAAGTGCTCCTGATTTGGAACATTTCAAAAATCTGGATGAAGCAGCTTCTGACGGCCAGTTTCTGTGCCCTTTGAACGAATTTAGCAAAGCGTTTGTTGAGTCCGATTTGCCAGTTTACATGTACTACTTCACAGAAAGATTGGACAATCATCTGTGGCCAAGTTACATGGGTGTGTTGCATGCCGATGAAATCTTTTTCATGTTCAGCGACGAAATCCAAACCAAAATAAAATTTACCGAAAGAGAAACTGGGTTCTCTAGACTAATGTCTAAATTGTGGGCGAATTTTGCAAAATTTGAGTACGTTACTTTGTTTCGTTTACCATGTTGTCGTTTATTTTTTTCTCTGTAATTTTATTAATTTATTATAGGCAAAATTTTTTGTTTTTATTCATTTATCTATTTCATTTCATTTCATTTTTTTATTATTTCAAACTTAACTTGAAATCATTCTACCATTTCATTGTGTTTTTAATTATTTAATCTTTTAATATTATTTAATTTCTTGCTTTATTATTTTATTTTATTATTCATCATTTTTTTAACTTAAAATTGAATGATATGATTGTATGTTTAAATAAATTGTTTCACTCGTCAAAAAACCAGAAAACCCAGCGCTGAGGATTGGTTACCGAGTAGGCCAGGTGATTACCGTTACGTAGAACTGAACTCGACACTCACTTACCTGAAAGTAAATTTCGGTGCCAGGACTAAAAATATATATGAGTTGACCAAAGATGCACAAAAGCCCTCTTTGCCTAGAGCTAGAGAATGTAGATTCTGGAAAGATTATGTAACATACTTGATGAACAATGAGAACAATGAGTGTCCCAGTGAGTTAGAATCTGTTTTAAAATAATTTTTATTAAATTATTGGAAAATTAATTTAAAACTTTGAAATCATGTGACAATAAATTTTTTATTACTTCACTTAAATTTTTCCAGCCAACAGTAAACAGACCTCGAGTCACTCGACGAAAATAACTTTGAGTACATTTTCAATTCTTTGCAGCCTGCAGACGATAATTCTTCTACTACCCGCAATAAACCGCCATGTTTCTTTTTTGTCTACATCCATTTTTGCTACAATTTTATTGTCGATTAGCATTTCTTCAGCTCCTTGTGCTAACCCACTAACGAGTTTCAATTGATTCGGGTTTAGAGAATTTTTTTCAAATTTAAAAAAATAATTTATTTTTTTTAAAATTCATAATTCAAATTTTTTCTGCGGTTATATTTCGTTTGATTTTTATGTTGGTTTTTTCATTTGTACAATTTATTTTCATTTTTAAATAATTAAATATAATTAATATGATTTGTTCTTTTATTCATTTTAATCGATCGAACCATCCATTCACGTTAGTAATTTTAACCATCATTATTATAACCATACCATCATAACCACCACCATCATCATCACCAACTTTTTCATCATCATCATCAAATGCTTTGTAAAGCGTTTGCAGTTTGCTACTCTGCTTACAGGTTTTAGCCTACTTACAATGTTTTTATAAATACTTTTAACAGTTTTGTAAATACCTTTCAAATGCTGCTACTGCTACTACTACTACTACTACTACTACTACTACTACTACTACTACTACTACTACTACTACTACTACTACTACAATTGCTTCGTATTTACTGTAAAGTTATAATTACTATTTTAAACTCTTATATTTCGTTTTTAGCATGTACTAACAAGCCGATTATATAGATTGTATGGCAGATAGACATTTATAATTAGTCATAAAAAAATTAAAAAATAATTAATAATAATTATAATAATTTATTATTATTATTGTTATAATTATTGTTATTATTATATTAACAGATTTTATTATTGCCGGTCGAAAAGGCAGTTTTTCAACTGTTTATATTTTTAATTTAATTTGTATGTTTGTTTATTTATTTATCCTTAATTTATTTATTTATTTATTCATTCATTCATTTTTTCAATCATTCTTTCATTCATTCATTCGTTCGTTCATTCATTCATATTCATTCATTCATTCATTCGTTCGTTCATTCATTCATTCATTTATTTTTTTTTATTCATTTGTTTATTTGTTTGTTTAGTTTAATAATTTTCAATTGGCCGTGTTTCATTTTCCTTTTAATTGTAAAAGTTTTAAAACGAAGCGCGAGTTTCTCTCGCCAACACTGGCAAGTAAGTCATCGTCAACATCGTCAGTTTTGAAGAAATAATAATAACAAACAATAGTAATAAAAATAAGAAGAAGGAAAAATAAGGAAAAAAAAAAAATAATAATAATGTTATCAATCCTACTACTACGACTTCTACTACACCACTACTACTACTACTACTAATAATAATAATGATAATCATTGCCAATGCTATTTTCCTCATCATCATCACAATGTCATGAGGATGACGGTGATGATGATGATGACGACGACGATGATGATAATGATGATGGTAATGATCATAAGGATTACGGCCAACAACATCATCATTAATGTGACATCATCATTCACGTCACGCCATAGTAATTGCAATAAATCACTATCATATATTTACTTTGACAATTTTTTAATTTTTTAATTTTTCAATATATATATAAATATATATATAATATATATATATATATGTATATATATTTATCGGCAAGATAGCTCAGTCAGTAGAATTGCCATATCTTGCGCTGTTATTACGTGGTAGCTCGGTTCGAATACTCTTTGTCTCAATGACTATCATACAAAACATTTGTTATGTAATGTAGGGGTGTTCTACAGTCTTTGCGGCACAGAAGTTTAACAGTAAGTATGGAACAGCATGTAAGAAGGATAATCCTGTATGCGTTTGACAGTGTTCCGCAATGGAAATTGTATCATGATGATATCATGATGATATCATATGATATCGTAATGATATCATCATGATATCATTCGTTCGTGATTAATGCATATTTTATTTCACTTTAATTATTTTTCTGTTTATTTTTTTTTTTTTGTTCGCAAATATTGGATCTATGCAGTTAACAAATTAACAAAGTACGTTAAATAATGATAAAAATGATAATAATAATAATGACATTAATAATAACAACTATAATAATAATAATAATAAAAACAATTAGTGTATGTACGACACATTCATAACAACAAATGTCTCTACAACAACATTATTTATTGCATTAACCATGAGAAAACACATTAGATTAACCGGTGGTTATATTACTCCAGCATTAATAATATTAATAGTAATAAAAAATAATAACAATAATAATAGCAATAATATTATTAATAAAAACATTTATACGTTTTTGTATTCCCATGTATGTGTTATATATATATATATATAATATAAAATATATATATATAAATATGCATATATATATATATATATATATATATATATATAATAATTCTAATAATAATAAAAAACACATCATCATCGTCATCGTCGTCCTCAATTTACTCATAACTACTAGCAACTTCTGATATCTCCATTATCATTAGTAAACAATGATATCATCATTATCATCATCGTCATTTTCCCATCGTAATCATTTAACATCGTCAACATCGTCAACAACAACAATCTGATCAACAACATCATCATCAACATCATCATCGTCACCAGCAGCAACATGATCAACAGCACTATCAACTATAACAACGACAACAACATCAACAACAACAACAACGAATAAAGAATTGTTAATATAAATTCGTTATGCGACAATGTAGAAGTCTTGCCAAATCTGGCCAAACGTACAGCAACTACAACAACAACAATAATAATAATAACATCAATAACGATGAAAAAGTAACTACAAGAACAACATCAACAACAATAAAAGAAAGAACAATAATAATAATAATAATAACGAAATAGTAACGATAACCGCAACAAATCATTAATAAATGCATGTATGTAGAAGCATGCATATGTATTCAACGTGTCCCTGCGCTAATGAATTTACTGCTGGTGCATACATACAATTAAGTTAGTATTTATGTATGTTAATATTCACAATATAATTATAGAACAAAATATTTGCGTGTGTATATCACAGGTTTGTGTGTATTTGTGTACATGTTTGTGTACATATATACGTGTTTATGGTTATATATTTGTTGGCCTGCTTGTATGAAATATTGAATAAAATTTTCTCAATTGCAATATTATAATAAAAACTGAATAATAATATAATTATATTATTCAATTGAAACGACAAAATTTATTAAAATGTGTTTTTGTTGAGAAATGTTGTTGCTGTTGATGCTGCTGTAGTTGTAGTTGCTCTCAGACTAGTTTCTCTCCAGTGTGTCCAGTATCTGTAAAACCATTTCTGCTGCTACCAATAGGCGTTCGCTGTGTTCACCAAAATCAGTGCCCAGTCCATACCTTCTTCTTAACTGCGATATAGCCTGGCATTCAAGCCATAGGTCCGGGACTCACTCAATATCCTCTCCGCACAATCTGCATTCCCCATCATCTGTGATACTTTACCTTATCCGGTAATCTTTTAGTGACAAATGATGACCTGTTGGTAAACCACTCCATTCTCGTTTTCTTGTCCAATTTTTCTTCCCTTAGACTGATTTCTTTCCTATATACCTTTCTGCATAATTTATGCTGTAGCGGTTCCTTTGTTGCAACCATTTCTTTTATCATTCTTTTCCTTTTTTTATTGCTGAGTGTGTTAATTTTTTGGAGGAGTCTGCTATTGTAGGCATCTTTGTCTACCTTTTAATTAGCGTCTATCTTGCAGCAAACTGGAATCTACGCCACAGTCACTCTTTTGTCTTGTGATTCCATCCGACTCATTGTGTCTATTAGTTTTATGCTGTCTGAGTCTTAATCATTACCATCTTTAAGCATCTTAGTTACTGATAAGCTATCTGTCACTATTGAGGCAGACCTCCAATTATTGTATCCCTGCAGCCATTAAGTGGTCAACTCCATGGCTCTTCTTTCGGCATCAAATGCGACGAAAGGGTACCGGCCAATAAAGGAGTAAAAATACTGATTGAAGTTGCAAAGGATAAAATTTGGAAAGATAAATTAAAACAGATTGAAAGAAGGATAAAATTTGGAAAGATAAATTAAAACAGATTGAAAGAACCAAAAGTGCTAAAAGAACATGGGGGTTGATCAAATCGTCTAAAGGCACAAATCAAGTAGCCAGCCACGGACACATAGGTTACAAAAATAGAATATGCGTAACAGAAAAACAGAAAACTAACGCATTCATTCAGGAGTATGCGGAGGTCAATGCTGAATGTACAAAAATGATTGACACAGGTGTGGAATCAGCAGAGTAT